CCATGCATACTTCACATCTTTTCAAAACATTCGTCTAGGGATTGAGTTGAATCTTTTACACAACCTTGTTACATTTGCCTTGAGTTTCTTTGGATTAGGCTTTTTTCAAATTTTCATTTTGATTTCATCGTCGAGTTTCATCCCTTGTATCTTTGGTTTTCTTCTTTCTTTCCGTGTCGTATTGTTTGAAAAACCCCGTTTTGAGATCAGGAATGGGTGATTAGGATAATGATGTACATGTATGCAGTCCTGGAATAGAATCTACCGGTAAGAGAACATTTTCTTTTTGTCCGTGTTTCTATACATGGCTAGAAAGTACAACTAATCTGTGTGTGTATATATTTGTGGCAGCTAGTTTGGTTGGTGGGTACACTTATGCCAGATAGTGTTGGGTCTGTTGCCAATGGCAATGGGCTCGGCTGCTTGAAAGTGTATTGTTGTACATGTCACCTGTGTTGGTTTCAGGGTTCATATACTTTCTATTTGAAGTATACATACCTGTTAACCATGGACTACTTCTGGCTGGAGCAACTCTTGTGTAATCAATGGTGCTAGTGTAGCTTATAATAATTATTATCAGATTCACTCTGATTTAGCCACACTCGCTAGTAGCAAGTATTACCTTCACCGGAGGCAGGGGTAACTGCAGTTGGATCCCGGGACGTATATCCTGATGCCGTCAATCCTTTTTCTTCACCTTGTCCTCACCCACTTACTGAGGTGTGGTGAGCCCATAAGTGGGATCATTTCCAAGTCCAACCAGAGTTTTAGGGATTTCAGGTGGTGTGGGCCGTTGCGCGGTTCAATAGCCAATTGAGTGATCTTTCCAAGATTCCTTTTGAGTCTCTCTCTCCCCTCTCCCAAGGTGAGACCCACGTGACCAGTTATGGCAGTGAGCAAGTGCAAGCATGTGTGTGTGTGTGTATGGGGCGGGGCGTGCGTGGGGGTGCGAGAGTGGGGGGGGGTGCATGCGTGTGTATGTAGGGAAGTTTGTGTCAGTGTGTGTGTGTGTGTGTGTGTGTTTGCGTGTGTGTGGTGTATGTGTGTGTGTGTGTGTGTGTGTGTGTGTGTGTGTGTGTGTGTGTGTGTGTGTGTGTGTGTGTGTGTGTGTGTGTGTGTGTGTGTGTGGGTGGGTGTGTGGGTGGGTGTGAAAGCTATTGGATGGTGCAATCCCAGCACAAGTTGCTATGACTTCTGCTGTAGCATCCCTATCATCGCCTCCGGCGATGAGCGTCCACTGGTCATGTGTGTGTGTGCGCGTGTGTGTGTGTTGCTATGGCTTCTGCCGTAGCATTGCTATCATCGCCTCCGGCGATGGGCGTCAAAGGTCAAGGTGTGTGTGCGTGTGTGTGTGACGTTTAATGTTATAGTGTTTCTCCTGACATGATGTGGGCAGTGGCTACGACTGTGTATTGTATACTGATGACATGATGTGGGCAGTGGCTACGACTGTGTATTGTATACTGATGTACATTATGATTGTGTTGTGCCAGTCTTTGTCACTTACAGTGACCTGTAGAACATGATGGGGACAGTGACTGTGTGACTTGCAATGGGAGTGCTTGCAGGCAGGCTTGGAGCTGCAATGTTTTCTGTGCGTATATCAGAGCATGGATGCTTGCAGTTTGGGTATGGCGGTATGAATGTTGGTTGTGATTATCGGAGCATGAATGTTGGATGTACAGTGACGTGTGCATTGGAGCAGAAATGATGACTGTATATCGGAGCATAATATATAATACACAGTTGTCTAACATCATGCTGTCTGATGAGTGCTTATACAATGTATAAGCTAATTTACTAATAATATGTTGACTGGGGCTAGAAGAGCTTGATTGTCGACTGCGCAGTTCTGTAGCAAGAATTCTGCCTGTGTGTAACTACCTATATGTACTTGTAGGAGAATGACGGTTGACTTCACAGTTTGGGAGCATGAATATTGGGTGTGCAGAATGGTAGCATGATTGTCGGCTGGGGAGTTTCAGTGCATGAATGCTGACCATTGGTATTAGAGCATGACTGTTTGTAGATGCAGGTATTATGAGCATTTTATTTTATTTTATTTTTTTTATTTATTTCACCTTCCCGTGGCCAGAGAATATAGGCCAATATGGAGGGAGGGGGGCGGTAGCCAGCCATGGCAGTAAACAAAAACAAAGCAAAATAAATAAATATTACATATTACTGGAGGCAAAGAGAAACAAATGTGGATGAAGAACTAGCAGTTATTAGAACACGAGCTTCATGTTGGCCTTGAAATCCTTTAGCGTACAAGACGATTTTACTGATAGAGGCAGGGCCAGCCAGAGAGAATAGGCAGCAAAAAACGGAGATCTGGTATAAGCTGAGGTTCAGGCTTTAGGTAAAGTGCAGGGATTGCGCGTAGGACGAGTGGGAAGAAACCAGTTATATTTACGCAAGTGTGGCGGGGCTTTGTCAAGACGAATAGAATGAACAACAATACACAGTTTTCGATCCGCTTGACTAGAGATAGGGAACGTGTTAAACATATCATACAGCTCGGCAGAAGGAAAGTATGATGGTTTGCGGAAAAGGACTTTGAGTATCCTCTTATTGTGGACTTCCAGGGTACTCATTAACGATTTACTAAGTAGGGATGACCAGGCGGTTGAGCAATAGAGAAAAATGGGGAGAATATAGCAATGATAAAAAAGGCGAATGCATTCAGGCGGTAGGTGGGAGCAGTGAGACACGAGGTAGCCAACAGCTTTACTGACTTTGCTACAGATATAGTCGACATGTCTACTAAACGATAAGTCTGAGTCAATGACCAAACCAAGATGTTTGTGTTGTTTTACCACTGTGAGGTCTGTGAGGGATCCGGGAAGAGTGAATGCATAGGTTGGCTCTGAGTTCGGCAGGAATAATATCTCAGTCTTGGCGATATTAGGTCTTAGTCTCCAGGTAGTCATCCACTGATGGACTTCGTTGATACCACGCTGGAGACTGTCTCGCAGCCTGTCTAGACACTCATTGAACCGGAGCAGTGCAGTATCGTCAGCAAATAAGGACACACCTTCAACATGACTGGGAAGATCATTTATATACACTAGGAAAAGGAGGGGCCCTAGGATGGATCCCTGGGGCACTCCGGACAGAACAGGTTAAGCATCTGAGAGTGTTCCACCTACAAAGACAACTTGCGTTCTGTCGGATAGGTAGTCTGTAATCCACTCCAGCGCTGAGTCACACACACCGAAAACTTTGGAAAGATTAGAGAGGTTTTGCAGAGCGAACGTTCGCAATGATTTTCGCGTTCCGGGTTGCGAAAACTATTGCGAACGTTCGCGCGAAATTTGTGTTTTGCATGTTTTTCGCTCCCAGGAATTTTCGCGTGCACTCGCTTGTTTGAGAAGTGGTCTTCATCCGATTATTTTGTTGTTGCGAGTGACGGCGCCCTGAGTCATGGCCTGAGACGAGAGCTCTTTGACTACCTTGTCCATGGCCGGAGACTCACAGACAAACGGGTTGGCTTGTGCCGTAATCTGGCGCATCAACACCTGAAATTCAGAAAGGCATCGCGTGTTGGTGTAACCGACTCTGAGCAGTGAGAAGACGAGCAGGCAGGAGATCGGGGATGGTTCCGGAGATGAAGCAACACGGGCTGCCACAAGTATAGGAAAGCAAGCACCCGCCGCCAAGCCATGAGTAGAGATGAAGCACAAACATGAGGATTGAGGGTGGCTCACCGCGCACGAACAGTCCACAAAGAGCGAACATTACTGCGAACGTTTGCATGTTTCTTGCTCCAAGAAAATTTCGTGTGTACGAGTACTCGCTTGTTTTTGAGAAGTGTTCTCCATCCGATTATTTGTTTGTTGCGAGTGGCGGCACGCGCACCAGGTACCCTGAGTCACGGCCTGAGACGAGAGCTCTTTGACTACGTTGTCCATGGCCGGAGACCCACAGACAAACGGGCCGGGTTGGCTTGTGCCGTAACCTTGCGCATCAACACTTGAGATTCAAAAAGGCATCGTTGATGTAACCGATTCTGAGCAGTGAGAAGACGAGCAAGCAGGAGATCGGAGATGGTTCTGGAGATGAAACAACACGGGCTGCCAAAAGTATCGGAAAGCTAGCACTCGCGGACCAAGCCAAGACTGCAAGAGTAGAGATCCAGCACAAACTTGAAGATTGAGGGTCGCTCATGTCCGTGCACCAGGCTGACCAGCGGTCCACAAAGAGCGAAAATTACTGCGAAAGTTTGTTTCGCGTTTCCTGCAACTTTCGCGTTCAAAACTGCGAACGTTCGCACGAAGTTTCGCTTTTCGTGACGTCAAACGAAAATTCGCGCGAACGTTCGCTCTGCAAAACCTCTCTTTTAGCAAGTAATTCACGGTGCCACACGGTGTCGAAAGCTTTCTCGAGGTCGAAAAAGCACAATGGCAACTGTGCTGGAATACTCCATCTCTGCAGTAGTGCATTTGTACTTGCATGAATCTGTAGCCTTACACAGTGTGTAGTATGTCACGCATGACCGCATGACTAAATCCAGTGTGCATTGATACCCTTTGCCGCTGGCTCCAGTACGGTGGGTCAGTTTTCGCACTCCTTTGTTATTCCCGCACCTGTCACTGCACTGCCCTTCCTCCATGACCCGGAGCTGTTGCGAGCGCTCATGTTTCCTTTGCGTCTCCTTCGGAGCGCTTTCCTGCTCTCCGTGTCTCTTTGCATCGCTGCACTTTGGCTGGCGCTGTTTGCAAGCAGTTCTTTTATATTCACAGGTTCCGTGCTTTATTCGGGAGATGTAGAGTTAGACCTACGAGAGGTAGAGTGAGTTTAGAGTTTGCCCGCGCTGCTTGTAATTGTTGTTTCGCAGCTCAGAGTTTGGCTTGCATTTTCAGAGTTTCGTGGTTCACAGATGTCCCTCGTTCTTCACAGTATATCAGTTTGTTCTCAACAGTGAGATTCAGTACCAGAGTGTAACATAGTGGTCCAATTCGAGCCGGATCTCTCTTCGTCGTTCTTCACCTTCAGTCATGAGTCAGGATCGAAGGATAAGCTCGAGGGCGACGAAAGGGAGAAAACCGAGCAGGTACAGGTCGTTAGAAGATGCCAGTGTTCAGGTCAGTCCAGAGCAGAGCGTAGCCATACGAGAGAGGAAACGCGCTGAGGCTGAGCTGAAAGCAGCTAGAGCGATCGCAGAGTTACAGTTGGAAGTGACTAGGAAACAACTTCAGCTGGAGCAGGCCCAGGCAGATGAGGAGCTTGCTCTCCGAGCCCCAGGACGCTCACCGGTACCGGTACCCAGTGGCGCTGTTGGCAGTGTTGTATCAGAAAGCGAGGTACTTAGTAGAACGAGAAGAAGTGCTCCAAGTCCACAACGACGACGTGATTGTATGTCAGACAGTGGTTTGCCTGGACAGTGGGAGCTGAGTAGAGCTCGCGGTAGTTTGTTGCAGAAACAGCTCACTATCCCAGAGAGGGGGTTGAGTAGCAGCAGCAGTGCAGAGCCAGCTTCTACTACTAGTTCTAGTTCTTCCAGTGCAGTGGTTCTGAAAGTGACACAGCTACAGGCAATCTTGGTGACAGGTACTAGGTCTGACCACCAAAGCTTGTCGTTTCATGGAGGTCCTTCCCCTGGTGCACTGTATGCTGCACAGTCAAGTACACCTGCACGCTTGAGCGCACTAGTGAGTGCACCAGTGTCTGTGGGTCAGAGTTTACCAGCACCAGTGAGTGCACAGGCAGCAGCACCAGTGAGTACGAGTGCACAGGCAGCAGCACCAGTGAGTGCACCAGCACCAGTGAGTGCACAGGCAGCAGCACCAGTGAGTGCCCCAGCACAAGTGAGTGCCCCAGCACCAGTGAGTGCCCCAGCACCAGTGAGTGCCCCAGCACCAGTGAGTGCCCCAGCACCAGTGAGTGCCCCAGCACCAGTGAGTGCCCCAGCACCAGTGAGTGCCCCAGCACCAGTGAGTGCACAGGCAGCAGCACCAGTGAGTGCACAGGCAGCAGCACCAGTGAGTGCACAGGCAGCAGCACCAGTGAGTGCACAGGCAGCAGCACCAGTGAGTGCACAGGCAGCAGCACCAGTGAGTGCACCAGCACCAGTAAGTGCACCAGCACCAGTGAGTGCACCAGCACCAGTGAGTGCACCAGCACCAGTGAGTGCACCAGCACCAGTGAGTGCACCAGCACCAGTGAGTGCACCAGCACCAGCACCAGTGAGTGCACCAGCACCAGAGAGTGCACAGGCACCAGCATTACCCAGGGGTACTACTACTAGTAGGAGCAGACTCACGGCTAAGACAACCAGGACTGCATTGGCAGGGATGCCTGCACCAGCACCAGTGAATGTACCTGCTATGTCCATATTGTCTGGGCAACCTCCTGCAGTGGCTAGTACGTCAGTGCCTGTAGAGCGAAGGTTCACTAAGCTGAAAAGCAAACAGCCAATGGAGTCCCAGCCTCGAGTGACGCAGGCACCCACACTGGATCCAGCAGCTCCTGCGTTTCGTCCCTACCAGGCGCCGCCCAGCCACACCTACCAGAGCCAGTATGGTCACGCATTTCCAGCTGCCAGCTTCTTCCACGTCAAGCCACTGGGGCTGCCGAAGTTTTCTGGAATACCTGGAGACTACGACCGATGGAGGCAGCACTTCAGGCATGTAGTGGAAGAAGACGCACTCACTTCAAAGACCTACAAGCTGGTTCAGCTGAGTGAACGCTGATGAGCACCCGAGCAGAGATCCCCGCAAGCGTTGGCTATACGTGCAACGGCTGGTAGCTGACGTGTGGAAGAGATGGCTGGAAGAGTTCGTCCCGCTACTGAATGTTCGACGCAAGTGGCAACAGAAGGGCAAGAATGTTGCAGTGGGCGACATTGTGCTGAGCCTGACGTCGGCAACTCCTCGGGGCACCTGGCCTATGGGCAGAGTATCAGCAGTGTTTCCTGGTCCTGACAAGTTAGTCCGTGTGGTCCACGTCACCGTAGGCGGCAAAGTCTACCGCCAATCTATTCACCACCTTGTCCCCTTGCTGGATGCAGATCAGTAAGACCGTGATGTTATAGCCAGAGAAACTGTGGTGTAATTCATGATAACACGTTAGCAATGTTCTTTGCTTTTGCTCAGTATCTTAGCATAGTAGTTGTACTCACTCGTTGGCGCATTTTACCCGCCACTCCTGAGTGAAGGGGGATATGTGCTGGAATACTCCATCTCTGCAGTAGTGCATTTGTACTTGCATGAATCTGTAGCCTTACACAGTGTGTAGTATGTCACGCATGACCGCATGACTAAATCCAGTGTGCATTGATACCCTTTGCCGCTGGCTCCAGTACGGTGGGTCAGTTTTCGCACTCCTTTGTTATTCCCGCACCTGTCACTGCACTGCCCTTCCTCCATGACCCGGAGCTGTTGCGAGCGCTCATGTTTCCTTTGCGTCTCCTTCGGAGCGCTTTCCTGCTCTCCGTGTCTCTTTGCATCGCTGCACTTTGGCTGGCGCTGTTTGCAAGCAGTTCTTTTATATTCACAGGTTCCGTGCTTTATTCGGGAGTTGTAGAGTTAGACCTACGAGAGGTAGAGTGGGTTTAGAGTTTGCCCGCGCTGCTTGTAATTGTTGTTTCGCAGCTCAGAGTTTGGCTTGCATTTTCAGAGTTTCGTGGTTCACAGATGTCCCTCGTTCTTCACAGTATATCAGTTTGTTCTCAACAGTGAGATTCAGTACCAGAGTGTAACAGCAACTTTCCGCCCCATATGACGATGGTCGGCAATGTTTTGGATCAGCTTGGTGAGCTGTAGAGCGGTCGAGTCACCACGACGAAACCCAGATTGCGCGGGATCCAGAGCAGGAGAAATATGATTATACAATTGATTGAAGAAGAGCCGTTCGCAAAGTTTGGAAATACAGGACAGGAGGGAAATTGGGCGATAGTTACTAGCTTGAGATTTGCTGCCTTTGCACTTGTAAATAGGCACAATTTTAGCCAGTTTCCAGTCAGTAGGGAACTTGCCTGTGGTAAAGGAGAGGTTAAATAGGCGGCTAAGTGGAAAAGAAATCGCAGGAGCTAGCTTCTTTATCATATTGTTCGTGATACCGTCTAGCCCTGGCGCTTTCCCAGATTTCAGGTTTGAGATGGCTTTACGAACATCTGCTGTAGTGATATGAACGCGGGTGAATTGGCGAGTAAGACGAGTGTCATATTGGAGAGGGGGTATTACTAAACGTGGGTCATCAGGCACCGCGACAGAGGTAAACTGCTTGTTGAGGATGGTTGCTTTTTGGAAGCTGTCGGACACCAGCAGCCCATCAGGGCTTGCAATGTCAGGGATGCCAGGTTTTACTTTGGGCGATCGCTGACTGCGGACAAACTGGTGAAGCGTAGTGCTGCCTGAGGTAAGTGTTGTTTTGATAGAACGAATGTACTGGCGGTGGCACCAGCGGGAGAGATGTCTCACCTGGTTCCGCTGTGCCTTATATGCTGATAGGTTGTAGTCCGTAGGGAATTTCTTGGAGAGGCTGAATAGGTCACGCTTCAACTTGATAGCCTTGCGTAGTTCAGTGGAAACCCATGGATGATATTTGCGTGTAGACCCTGGGGTTGAGGGAGTTCGATTTGGTTTGCGGGAGCTATGAAGGGGAACATACTTGGACAGCACAGTCTGCAGGACACTGTGCAGGTTACTAAGTGCACTGTCCACGCCTGAGGATATTAATGAGTTCCAAGGTACTGAGTCTAAGTCTGCATTGACCGCCTCCCACACAGCAGGTGTGACGTGTCGGAGATCGAAAGACAAAGGGTTAGGCTCCTGAGCTTGAGACGTTATTTCGCGGGGAGACTGAGGCAGGGGGATGTCGAACTGGCAGTACACAATGGCATGGTCTGAGGCGCCCAGAGGGCAGTCAGTTTCGACGCAAGACGAGAGATTGGCACGGTTACTAAATACCAAATCCAAGCAGGCTTGGACACCAGAGGGTGACGTGTATGTACATGTGTTGACGAGTTGGTGAAGACCAAATGGACTGAGCGTGCGATACAATTCAGCACCGGCAGTATTGGTGGAATCTGTCGAACACCATGACGTGTGCTTGCTGTTAAAATCACCTGTCAAGATAACGTGAGAAGATGAAAGAGGAAGAGTAAGCATGAAGGCTTGCTGTTGATCTTGGACACACTGACCTGAATACCTGCAGCATGAGTGATGGTTGATCATGATCGTAGTGACCAGCTGTTGCTTAGCAACTGATTGTATTGGTTACCATGACTACGTAGTGCTGGTGACTAGGGTAGTGAGTGATGGAGAGGTTGATGGTGTGGTTGTCATGGTATTGACTAGACATAGCCTACCTATCAGATGATCTGACGTGTGCACAGCACATACTTACACCTTGTAGTTGTAAGAAGAATGAGACCCCGATGACGCAGGGCAGTGCATGCTTTAAAGCTTGTGTTCATAATTATGTGCTAGATTTTATGGCGCACTATCCAGTGGCTAGAGCGTGTTAGCGCCGCATGAACACCTGCCAGCTGGCAGCTTGATTACACTAATCAATCACGCAGATTCACGTAGCTAATACAGAGGTTTTGCAGAGCGAACGTTCGCAATGATTTTCGCGTTCCGGGTTGCGAAAATCATTGCGAACGTTCGCGCGAAATTTGTGTTTTGCATGTTTTTCGCTCCAAGAAATTTTCGCGTGCACTCGCTTGTTTGAGAAGTACATACAGTGAGTGGTCTTCACCCGATTATTTTGTTGTTGCGTGTGGTGGCACCCTGAGTCACCGCCTTTGCGCAAGGAGGGGGCTAATCTTCTCGCAGAAAAGGGGGAAAAGGGGAGAAAAAGGGGGAAAAAGAGGGGGAAAAGAAGAGCGGGAAATTGAAAAAGAGGGGGTAAAGAATGGCGGGAAAAGGAAAAAGAGGGGGAAAAGGATGGCGGGAAGAGTCCACCGTTTGAATGTCCATACATCTAAAGTGAGGCTATTTCCAGGCTCTGCACAAGTACACATCCACCACGGCCTCTCGCAGCCTCCTCCTTTTCCTCCATCCCCCCCCCCCCCCATCACACACAATGTGCCGATTATCCTAATGTCAACTATCCAAATGATTAATTATCCAAAATAATTGCTTGCATTTAATTGAGGGGTAGAAGATGAGTTTCAAGTTGTTGATTTTCGTCGATCGGGGCACCATTGAAGCGATTCACAAGATGTATTACAACAGGTTTGAGTCAAAATGTGTAATAATAGTGTCATTAATTTAGAGGGGCACGAGTGCACCAAGTTCCTGTTGCACTGCTGAAGAGAATGAAAATGATGAAAACATGCTGAAATATGCATGATTTAGATAGATGTGTGACTGCTCTCTTATCCGAACATTCTTCTCATCTGAACCCTCTGGAGACAGCCCGCGTCCCGAGGGGTGGGGATAATCGGCACTCTCCTGTACATCTAATTCTATTCTTAAATTATATACATATTGGAGAGCTCTTTCTGCTGCCGGGAATGAGAAAACACATCCCAGGTAAGGATACGCCCCTCAAGGAAACACAGCTGGTGGATTCCAACAGTCAGGGGCGTCGCACACGGTACGGTCACTACGGTATTGACCGTACCACTTTTTGCCCCAGATACCCGTGAGTCAACAAAATACACTGATCTGGGGTATAAAATTCCAAAATTTTTGGCTCAGCCACCACTCCCCCAAGAGTCAATTGTACTTCAGATGGCTGACCGTACCACACTAAGATACCTTCCGACGCCCCTGACAGTAGTATGAAACTCATACACAATCAATTAGAAATACTTTGGAGAATAAACCTTTGTTGGTGAAACAAAGTTGGGCGAGAGTATGATGTTCAAGTAAAACAATACTAAAGTGCCGTAACGTGAAGAAAGGAACGTAGCGCACAAGTTAACGAGAGAGCTTGGAAGCTCAGGGCCCTACGCTATGCTTTTTTGCCTTGATGACCTAGACAACAAAAAAGCATAGGGATGTTATAAATTCTTTAATTTAAAGACATAACCTGGGATTCGAACCCGCGCTATTGCGCGCCCTGCATGCACCCCCCGATACGCTTCGCATACATACTAATTCTTCCAAGTTGCTTCACATTGTGATCTTGCATTTGAACTAGTATTTGAATATGCATTGTGGCCAGCCGTCTTTGATGGCACGGTACGGTAGGGGATAGGTACGGGACAGGTACGATCGAGGGTAATACGACAAATAGGGCTTTCAAACGCAAGATCATAACGTGAAGCAACTTGGAAGAATGGGTATGAATGCGAAGTGTATGGGGGAATGCATGTAGGGCGATAGTGCGGGTTCGAATCCCAGCACATGCCTGAAAAAATAGGAGAATTGAAAAATTTATAACGTCCCTATGCTTTTTTTTGCCGTCAGATACGGATAGCGCCAGGCGTGACACAAACAAACAAACACACAAACAAACACACAAATACCAAATTAAAGCTGTGTGGACCCTAGCTAGCGCCAGACGTTACTGAAGTAACGTCTTCTGCATAGCTACGGGAATGAAGATAAATTCACATACAGAACACAATATGCCCAGATGTGGAAATTTAAGTCAAGATTAGCAGAATATACACACATGCAAACACACACACACACACAAGCGTGTGCACACAAACGCAAACACACACACACACTGTTGGCTGCTATAATGCGATGGCAGCCTAGACAGAGGAAACAAAGTTTACACAAACAAATTCCTACTCTTTCTCTTTCTTTGTATTCTTCTTCTTCCTCATATTCAATTCAAGGCAGGCTCTTCTATTTTTTTTGCTTCGGCCAACCTCGTTTTGGGATCTTACCCACTTTATTGGGGCAGTACAGGTACCCTGAACCTGAGAGTGTCCTTCTGATGTCATCGCTCTCCTACATTTTCTGCACGTCTATATTATTCTTTCTACGAGGACAGCAGAAGGACATAAACAAAGACATCCACACCATTTTTAAGATTGCATCTTCCAAAGAACACATAAAAAAGCAAATTCTACACGCCAAGCATCGGTTCACGCCGTAACAAATCTCCACGCCATGAAAAATTCGATCGAATGCCTGGTGGGAGATGCTTTTTAAAAGGCTTGCATACATTTTTCACAAAAGACATTGTTGTGGCTGCCACCGGATTCGTACAAGAATATGTCAACTTCTAATCAAGGACTGTAATAAGTTCTGCCTTACGTATTAAAGGGGAAGTCTGCTGAATTTTTTTAATTTCAGGACCCGTAGAGTTTGGGGCGCTGAGTCGAATGTTCTTTTCCGAGGAGGCTGCGGTCCATGGTTCGTCAGATACGCCCAATCGAAAATGAGCACGCAGTCTACCTGATCCAGGTGATAAGGTCACAGTGTGCAGCCAGGTAGCCACACCATCTATTTGTGTGCAAAATGGCCAATATTCGAAACGCGTTCGATTTGAGAACCATCTGTCGCAGCTTCTTCGGACCAAGAGCATTCGACTCACTGTTACAAGCCCTACGTACCCTGTTATTTTCAGCTCGGCAAAATTTGAGGATACCCCGTTTTCAGCCGTTTCCGAGTGGGGCTTTTTACATCCGCTGGCTTCTGCGTGCATGCCATAGTCAACAAACATACGGAACACTACACTACAGTACTGCCGGGCACCGAAGAACGGGGTCAGGGTTCTAGCCTAGCCCGTTCTTATTTTTAGCGAACACAGCAGTTTCGTTCATATTCGATGGTACAGTCTTACATGTACATTTATGCAGAGTTATACGTCTGAGTGTACATCACGTTTCTACCTAGACCGTTCTTAAAAAATGGCGAAATTATAGCCTGGCCGTTCATCGGCGGTCCGTTCTTCGGCGCCCGGCGGTAGTAGTAGTACATGACTACACCCGCATTGCTGTGCTAGCGCTACGCGAGTCGTGTGGCAGATCTAAATGTACAAGAGACTAGTCAATACACGGACGTGTCATGTACTGCACCCGGTATGTAGTTAGAGAAGGTGTGCTCCTCCGGGCCGGTGATTGTGCTTTGAGAAAGAAATATTTTAGTTTTCCGCTTGGAAGAGTCCAGCCTCATTTATGCTACAACGATGAGTCCACAACCGTGACAAGCGACAAAACCGCGAACAGCTCCCGGACCTAAAACGTTCAGATCCCGAAGTGTTGTGAGCCTTGAATCGAAGAGTCGTGTCCGTGGTTCCAAGAACCTGCATTGTATATCCAATCGAGCAGCATCTGAGCTATGTTTGCACCAAAAATCGTGAAATTTTCCACTGTATCATGGAAATGCCACACCCTGCAGTCCCACTGTTACCATATTTTACCGGTATAAGTCGACTTATTGAATTGAATTCAGTGGAAACAGGAATTTCGGATAATTGACCGTTTGGACAGTTGACATTCGGATAATCGGCATTCTACTGTGATCCTAGTGCATGCAATGAAACATACTTGACTGTTGGGAGTCTTGCTGCGTCAGTGCAAATTGGCAGTTAATGCTAGAAGCTGCAGTGAACAACATCACAAATAGAAAATATAGAAAAGCAAATACAACTGAACTTTGATACTGGAAATTACAGATCTGCTGCCCGCATCCACATGTCCATATTCTACATGTGCGATTGATCCTGCAAGATCTTCACTGCCCGTCTAATTGAGGATGGCACCCCGAATAGAGCGGACCGCTTCTAAACCAATCAAAGACCCAGGTTGTTATACTCCAGCAACCGGGCAAAGACCTGTCACCCATCCATGACCCCATCAGCCCATCTCCTTATACTCACATTTTGGTGTAGTAGTTGAGCACCTGTCCTTCCTTCATCAAGTGGATATCCTAAGCATGTGACCATGGTGACTTACCGCTGGTATATCTCTGCACTTCCATCTTGACTGGTTGTCAAGTCACCTTCCGGAGAGGTAGAGTGGATGGTAGGGTCAGTGCAGTCCTGGCCACGCCATGAGAAAGAAGACATTTTCCCATCAGGAGAAGGCCAACATCCTCCCTCTGGGTAGTGCCTTGATACCTGCAGTGCAGTGCAGTAACATTAAACTGCAATTGAAACTGTCTCCATGCCATTGTGAAGCCCAGTTCACATTCGACGGGGCGCAACGGGACGCGACATAAGGATCAACGGGAAACGCCGGGACGGTCACCCCGTCACGGACTGTGCCTTATGACTCGCACCATTCGCTGTTGAACATCGCAAAGACTGGAGCATGTCGTGTCGTACGAATTGTACAAGATTTTACAGCTCACCCCAGCCGTCACAGGCCCTTACGTCCCGTACCGTCAGCGTTGCGTCGAAATAGAACTAGGCTTTAGAAAGATTACGTGTTGGTATGTGCTCCTACTTACACACACATATACAAAAGGTATATAAAGAGAAAGCATGATCCACCCCATCATTGACACCAACAGCCCGGCACAAGAGCAGCAGCACCTGCATTCTATTAACCCAAAGTTCATCTGCGAATGTACTCACAGAGTCGTCTCCTTTATTGTGCCCGACCTTGGAAGAAAACAACACAGCAACGTAGTGTTGGTTTCGGTGAGGGCTTCTACGTTCACATGAACATACAGAAAAGCACAATATATTTCCAAACAGACGCCAACTAGTATAACCAAACAGCAACGACAACACCACAAAGACCTAACAGTCTCTTGAGCACAAAGTGTCTGGGATAAAAAAAGAGCAGAAGTTCACCATTGACACTGGTATTATAAAACTTTCTACAACTGCTGCAGAGGCAGCAGCAGGGTTCTAGTGCCCGGACCCAAAGCTCATCTGAGAATTTTCGCCATTGATACAAAGCAACGACCATGGTAGCAACAGAGAGTAACAGCAGCAGCCGTTTGAGCAGCAGTATCAGCAGTCTCCAGCTTCAAGGGAGTGACCTAGCAAATTTCACGGTAACGTGAAAGGTGCAACTGCACTCTTTCCGGCACCAAATATGCCATGCTGTCCCCCGCTGCAAAATAGAGGACAACTCTCAACTGTCGCCAACACCTTGGCCCAGAGGGAGTCTTTCCTTGGACGTTCGCCCCGGCCAAAGAAGGTCAAAACCCAAGTGGTGTAATCATGTATCTGCTTCTCCAATCGAGACACTGGCAAGGCTTGTATAGGCATGATAAATTGATAATACTGTATGCATATAACAAAGGCAAACTTACATACGCACAAACTCACGTCCATGCACATGTGCACGGACGGTGTCGTTGGCGTACACACACACACACACACACACACACACACACACACACACACACGCGCGCCCATGCCCGCGCATGCACAGAACAAAGGCATGTGCAAAGGAGCATACTCACAAAAGCACAGGACAGGCACACGACTGATCTACGGATGTATCACGACATTGAAGGAACGGAGCTTGCAGCAAGCCTTCACCCTCTGGAGATTCCTGAAATACATAAATACATGTCAGCAGTAAATAGTTGCAGCATAAACATTTCCACGGGGACTGTGCAGCTTCACTAACCTTAACTTCAGTCTCCCCAGAATGCAGCAATCAGACAACGGCTAAGAAGAGGTGCAGGAAATTTGAACAACTGTTTCAAAAGCAGTCCTCCAAGCCTTCTGCACCAACAGGTGATTCAGTTCGTGCTCTTATACCATCCTGGCAGGTAGAGACATTTTCTAATAACACAGAGAGCACAATCATCAAGGTGGGCAAATCCTCAAGAGAGAGTGCACCCTAACTTACACTACAAATCATTTACTGGACACTACTGGACAGAGCGTCCAGTCCATTCAGTCCAGGGGAGAAGAGGCAAAGGCATAGGGCTCCTGAGAAGATGAAAGGGCAACACATTATCATTACTACATTAATTTTATTATTGGGGGCAGACGTCTTCTCTGTAAAATATGAGGACGAAAGGCACATCAGTACTCACATCCCTGCTCATATCACTGCTCATCCATGTCCTCTACGAGGGCAATGCATTTAGGGCTGAAACAAGTATACAGATAACTCGCAAACCGATCGTTTTAAGAGCGCAATCGATAATCGTTAGTGTTCACTTTGAAAGCGAATGCAAACGATTTCTTATGCATGCATACCAGTGGCAGTATTCTAGCCCTTGCACTCCATCCAATTGTGGATACGAGTGCAATCGTGTACTTTCAAGCGCAGTAATATTGATGCGTGGCTATGAAAGAGATCGGGAGTCAAGACTGTATCTTTTCGATTGATTCGTTGGGGAAGTTGGTGATAAGAGCTTCAAGCCAAAGGGTGACGACAAGCCTGATTCTTCGTTCTAGAAACAACATGAACTCCTCTAGTTCATATTGATAAAGCCTAGTTCACATTCGACGGGACGCGGCGTAAGGATCGATGGGAAGCTACAGAACGGTCTGACGGCGTCCAATGTGAACACCAGGAACGGGAACGCAACCATACTACCGTACGGATCGGGAAGCGACGGGAAGTGTTGGATCAGTTCAACTTTTCATACCGTAGACGGGCATAGACGGAGACGCAAGCGTACAAAACGGCTGCATTTTGAGTGTGAACAGGAGGTGGCGTCGTGCGCCGTCCACTCCCGATTCGTACTAGGAAATTTTTAGGATTTCGAACACTGCGCTTCCCATGATAACTCGCAGAATGGCTAACACGACTTGAGTTGAATTTTAGCAAGATAAGATCTCATGTCACTTATGGTATTTAGGGATAGTTTAGGAGAATGACAGATGAACTGTTTTATCATTTCCTAGGGCTACTATTCGAATGGCACAACTTTCAGGGCTACTTTTTTGTCTCCATGAAAAACTGGTATTGTGAACTTGATTTCGCTTCATTCAAGGAGATATAATTGAAAAGAAGTCCCGAAAAACAAGAAATTAGGTCCGAAAGTCACCCCGTCACGGACTGTGCCTTATGACTCGCGCCGTTCGCTGGAGAACATCGCAACGACTGCAGCATGTCGTGTCGTACGAATCGTAAAAGATTTTACAGCTCACCCCAACCGTCCCGACAGGCCCTTACGTCCTGTACCGTCAGTGTTACGTCGAATGTGAACTAGGCTTTAGACCAGTCAGATGTCTACAGGTGTCGACACAATTGCCTGAAATGTTTACAGAATACCAAACACTGAGCGGTAGCCTGGGTATATTTAGAGTGTTTGACTGGTGGCCACAGCTAATGTAGCAAAGGCATCATGGAATTTCTTCATAGTCTTGTGTTCGAGGTGCACGACTACAGCCGGAAAGAATCTATAATTATGAACCAACAATTATAATTCTTTGTCACTGCTCACGCACCATTTAGCTTCGAGTTGTACCTTCTGCTGTGTAGCGCAGAACACAAGCTCGGAGAGATCTTTGCGGCTGCATGTCGCCTTTGCTGGGCGACATTCTATACGGATAACTGCACACAACGTTGACAAATTCTTCACTTGTGTAGTTCGTAGTGCTACTGGTGATCTCAATGTCTCAGTACTCATACTCCTTGTCAGTTTTGTGCTAGATTGTGCACGTCTGACTATTCGAAATCTGGTTTAGTTGGTGGACTCGATTGCATAGCTTGTGCCCACATTTTTCTATGTTACAATTATATTCATCGCTAAAGAGATTGGTTGATCGCTTGGAGTTATTGAATGATTGTTTCAGCCCTAATTTATTTTCACCCTGGCCACAGCACTAGGCGAAATTCTCTGACACGGCCTTTACCTGCATCCACTGCTCTTTTGCATCACGACGAAGGACATGCTGGGGTTCTCTCTGAGCAGAGGAAAGTAGCCATCGCCACCACCACCATCACCATTCACCGACAATACTAGAGAGACTATTTTCCCCGTCGTGGGTACTTCCAATAAAGTAATTCCACTTACATAGTATCATAGGTACCGTCAGCGGCGCCACCATGTTCCCAACAGTGTATTCCTATCGTGGGTACTTCCACGGGCAATAAATTCGGCTCGTGCTGTCACTCGCAAGCCATCAAATAACGCTATCCCTCCCTTGCGCGAATTGCCTCTGCAAACAAAATTATTTCAATGATTGGACTCAGTTCTTTTCGCTCGTGCTCGCGTGGTACATGGTCGCGTGCGCCCCATCTACGCCCATACATTGTTTCATCTTGTTTCATCTTGTTTCATTCGCGGCCCATCTAGGCCCGTACTTCGAGTTTCATTTGGTTTCATCTTGTTTCATCTTGTTTCATTTTGTTTCATTTCGTTTCATCTCGGCCCCATCTGCGCTCGTACTTGGCGTTTCATCTTGTTTCATCTCGTTTCATCTCGTTTCATCTGTTTCATCTGGGGGGAAGACGGGCCCGTCAACCTTGCGCAAGGAGGGGGCTAATCTTCTCGCAGAAAAGGGGGAAAAGGGGAGAAAAAGGGGGAAAAAGAGGGGGAAAAGAAGAGCGGGAAATTGAAAAAGAGGGGGTAAAGAATGGCGGGAAAAGGAAAAAGAGGGGGAAAAGGATGGCGGGAAGAGTCCACCGTTTGAATGTCCATACATCTAAAGTGAGGCTATTTCCAGGCTCTGCACAAGTACACATCCACCACGGCCTCTCGCAGCCTCCTCCTTTTCCTCCATCCCCCCCCCCCCCCCCATCACACACAATGTGCCGATTATCCTAATGTCAACTATCCAAATGATTAATTATCCAAAATAATTGCTTGCATTTAATTGAGGGGTAGAAGATGAGTTTCAAGTTGTTGATTTTCGTCGATCGGGGCACCATTGAAGCGATTCACAAGATGTATTACAACAGGTTTGAGTCAAAATGTGTAATAATAGTGTCATTAATTTAGAGGGGCACGAGTGCACCAAGTTCCTGTTGCACTGCTGAAGAGAATGAAAATGATGAAAACATGCTGAAATATGCATGATTTAGATAGATGTGTGACTGCTCTCTTATCCGAACATTCTTCTCATCTGAACCCTCTGGAGACAGCCCGCGTCCCGAGGGGTGGGGATAATCGGCACTCTCCTGTACATCTAATTCTATTCTTAAATTATATACATATTGGAGAGCTCTTTCTGCTGCCGGGAATGAGAAAACACATCCCAGGTAAGGATACGCCCCTCAAGGAAACACAGCTGGTGGATTCCAACAGTCAGGGGCGTCGCACACGGTACGGTCACTACGGTATTGACCGTACCACTTTTTGCCCCAGATACCCGTGAGTCAACAAAATACACTGATCTGGGGTATAAAATTCCAAAATTTTTGGCTCAGCCACCACTCCCCCAAGAGTCAATTGTACTTCAGATGGCTGACCGTACCACACTAAGATACCTTCCGACGCCCCTGACAGTAGTATGAAACTCATACACAATCAATTAGAAATACTTTGGAGAATAAACCTTTGTTGGTGAAACAAAGTTGGGCGAGAGTATGATGTTCAAGTAAAACAATACTAAAGTGCCGTAACGTGAAGAAAGGAACGTAGCGCACAAGTTAACGAGAGAGCTTGGAAGCTCAGGGCCCTACGCTATGCTTTTTTGCCTTGATGACCTAGACAACAAAAAAGCATAGGGATGTTATAAATTCTTTAATTTAAAGACATAACCTGGGATTCGAACCCGCGCTATTGCGCGCCCTGCATGCACCCCCCGATACGCTTCGCATACATACTAATTCTTCCAAGTTGCTTCACATTGTGATCTTGCATTTGAACTAGTATTTGAATATGCATTGTGGCCAGCCGTCTTTGATGGCACGGTACGGTAGGGGATAGGTACGGGACAGGTACGATCGAGGGTAATACGACAAATAGGGCTTTCAAACGCAAGATCATAACGTGAAGCAACTTGGAAGAATGGGTATGAATGCGAAGTGTATGGGGGAATGCATGTAGGGCGATAGTGCGGGTTCGAATCCCAGCACATGCCTGAAA